TGGACCCGCCCCTGGTAGATCAAGGACAATAAAAAGTTGTGGGACTAGGTGTCTTGCACTATACAAAAGGAGAGATAGCTAACATGGGACGGGTGTGGTGCGATTACAATCTTTTCTATAATTCATTAGAAAAGGACGGGTTATTGTGCCATTACCACCCGTCCACTGCCTTTTCTATATTCGTAGAAAGGATGGGGTCCCACTGTCTTTTGAAAAGGATATTTGGAAATGTGTTTGGCATAGATATGATTTTTAGTAAAACAGGCTGCAAAATTGGACTATTATATTTTCCACTTATTTCTTATCTAAAGTCTCGATTTTTATTTTTTATTAATTTTTATTTATAATGACAAAAGAGCTGATTGTTGGTACTAATCCAAATTATCAAAAACGAATGCCACGTTTTATTTATTACGCCTGAAAAAATCTATTATGCCGTCTTTTTTGAGGATTGGTAATAATGGCACAGCAAACCTGTTCCTTTTCACCTGTCCTTTTCAAGTTTTCCCATGAATAATAGAAAAGGACGGGGAGACGAGTAACTGTGCCACGCCCGTCCCTTGTTAATTGTCTGTACAACACAGATTTTGATTGGTTGATCATTGATTATAGTGATTAATCTGAATTTACGCGCATGTGTAGTTTTTTATAATAATATCGAAACTATTTGAAAAGAACGGGAGACGGCTTGAACTCTTCTCCGTCCTCCCAGATATCTGCCTGTAATGAAATATAAGGTATCGCGTTCATCGAAAGAGGATCGTTCCAGGGTTTATTCAAAATTTCAAAGCTTAGAATGTAAAAATGACATCTGGTATAAAATCACAAGTATTTCCTTTGGCTAATTGTTGTTGAAGTTTTACCTGTCGTGAAAACAAATTATTCCCACTTTAGAAAACTTGTTAAAAAACCGATTGTTACAACACTTCAGATCATCTTGGCGATTGGTCACGTAAAAACGATTTTCATTCATCTGAAACCTTTGCATTTAAGGTGTTGCGGGCACAATAGGTAAAGTTTAGCCCTTGTGTTTTATATACTGTTGTAGAAAAAGAACTTTGGATTGGAAATTTTTTCCTACTTGCAAGAAATTTGATATTTGATTCTTGATATCCATGCTTATTATTCTGGAATGAACGGAGAAGGCAACTTCATCACCATGTTTCTCAATACAGACTTTGTATTTCATTCAAGAGTTATAACCCTTGTGCCAAATTGAGCTCTCAAAAATTTTAAAAGGTTTGTTTTATCTTTAAACAGTTTGCTTATTGACATCTTTCCATTCGACATGTCTGTGAATTCCTGATATCATAATTTTATTATCTGACACTGAAGTAAATAAACTGTTTTAATTTTGGTTGAAAATTTTTAAAATGACAAAAACAAAAGAGTTGCCCGCAAATATATATTAGGCCTTCGCCAGATTTTAATCAAATTGAGGATGAATTTGAAAAAAAAAGAATTTGTCTTGCTAAAAATGCAACGGATTTAGAGCTTTCTTTGAAAGAAGAATGGCCAAAATTTCCTAAGAGAGATATCTTTAATTTAATTGAAAGTATGCAGAGGAAAATAGAAGTATGCATTTCAAGTAAAGGATGGTCTACAAGATACTGGATTGATTTTTTTAAATCAACGTTATTACGAATGTTATTGCAACTTTAATACTTGTCATCACATGAAATATTTTTTATAATAAAAAAATTCAATGAAACTTTTAAATCAATAAAAAAAAAAAAATCTTTTTTAATAGTTTTATCGAAAAAGAACAAATAAAATAAAATAAAATTTCATATAATAATAAAAATATATATAATATAATAATAATGCCTAAATACTATGTTAAAAATCCAAAGTAGTAAAAAAATAAAAAAAAATAATTGTAAATAATTATTTTTTAACCAAATAAATTTAATCAAAAAAGAAAAGATTAAAAGAAAAAAATATTTTCTTTTAAAAAAAAAAATAATCTATAAAATTCCTATAAAATTATAAAATTCCCATAAAAAAAATCAAAAACCTTTTTAATAATAATAATAATAATTTATCATATATGGATAAATAAATAATAATAATAATATATATATAAATTTTTTCGAAATTTTTGTTTTTGTCTTAACTATATAACGTTGTTGTTATATATATTATATATATTATATATATTTTTATAAATTTACTTAATAGACTAAAGAAAAATACCAGATAGAAAGAAATTATAATTATTATATATTATTATTATATATATATAATAGCTTATTTTGCGTTTACAGCTCTTTCAGCAGCAGCGACTTTTTCTCTAAACTTATCATTATCATTCATGGAATGAGCCAATTCATACAAGTCGTCAGTGTCTAAAAGATTAATTGTAACCTTGCTAGCCATAGCACTTTTGAGTCCAAGGCTCTAAACAAAATAATCAATAAAAATCAATCATTTTCATTTCAAAAAAATCTCATAATAAATAAATATCGATAAATGATTTACCTTAACTTTACGGAATAAACGGTCACCCAATTTTTGTTTTCTTTCATGAACAGGTTTAAATTTAATGCTATCCATAAATTGTTGAATTTCATCCCATTCGCTATTACGAGTAGAAGAAGAGGTGGGAGAGGTGGTGGTAGTTGACGTAATTGGATTGATGGTCTTCACATTATAAGTAGTTTTATTGGTAAGATTTAAGGATTCAGTTGATTTAATAAACGGAGGAGTGGAAATTGGAGTAATTTCAGTTGATGGTGCAGCTGATTTAGGGGAACATGATAAATTATCATCGTTGGTAACAACTTCCAATGCTTGGATTGCTTCATGGATTCTTTTATTCAAATATTCAGCATTAAAGTAACACGATCTTCTCTCCTTAGTACTCAAAGTCAATATCAACTCAAGGATCTCGTCAACGTTTCCTGGGCAAATTTTCAAAATAGCCTTATGGAATTTTTCTTTTTGTGAAACTTGAGCAGCAGAACTTGTTAGATCAGTTGTACTGACATTAATGTTGTTATGAATTAAATGATTAT